ATTTATCAGTCGGTAATTTGCATCTTCTTGATTTGGCCCACTTTATATCGAGGCAAGATAGCCAACGCTTTTCACTGCTTTGAGTGCATGCCATTACACAGAAGTAAATTAAACAGGTTGACTGGCAGCAATCAAAGTCATCACTCTCTGGATTACTTAGAAAAGGGGATTTCCCATCGGGTTTCTGGAAAAGATTACACTCAGCCTGAAATTCTGGATTCAATTATTTTGCAGTGGTGCACTCGACAAGAACTAGATGATCACTATTAAGCAAAACGAGAAAATTTGGTAGGAGTGCGAGTGCTTTTATTACTAAATTAATTAGGACAAGCGCCGATTAATTCACACGGAACTCCAGGGCCATCACTGAAAAATCAGTCCAGCAGAACTACAGGTCTCAATGAGGTTGTTCAGCGAGACCCAAGAACAATGAGAGGATCTCTAGACGGACGATGTTCTTTTCACCGTCCAGCGCTTTATTTCCTTCTGGTAGACGTTTTCGCGTATTCCACTCCCCAGCTGTCGCTGCTATCGTATGTTGCTACAATATTAGAAAGAATTCCGACGTGCCCCCAGACTAAAACCAACGCTGAGCGAGCTTACAGTGTTTAACCTTTAGGAACGGACTGATGAAAAACCAGTGTTTTAAGGGGTGCTCAATAGTCGATGGAAAGTGAGCACTAATATATCCCAGAGCCAAACTGCATTAATTGCAACTAAACTCATCAGATTTCTGGAAATCATAAGATGGATTCATGAGTTGGTTAAAGTACAGGAGAGTGCCTATCGTTTTCCTTAACACCGTACCCCAGAAGCTAGTAGTCAAACCACCGGACAACTCTTGTACTTCTGCCAATTGAGCTTTCAACAATAGTAAAATATTCTTGAAACAACCATTTTATCTGACCACTCGACTCCTGGGTGAAGTCTGCCACCACGCAAATTGACTGAACTCGAAATTGCAGACTATCGGAACGCAGGCACACTAGGACAGGCTTCATAACAAAGCTTCGGATGTTAAGTCAACACAAGAAAGGACCACAAAAGACAAGTTCGTAAGTTCCACCATTTGATGTCCTTACGTAGCAAGGCCACCGGTCTAAGTAGCAGGCAATTAATTAGCAGCAGATATTGTAACGTAGTTAATAATTCAGACGGCGTGTTGAGGGAGGTAGAGGGTAGACTATTGGAGAAGAGTTTGATATTTACTATCAATAAATCCAAGATAAGAGCTTAAGGAGTTATTCCTAGTTTGGAGACGGCTTGCACGAATTTACCGGCTTCAAATGCTGAGCATATTCGTGCAGAGCTTGCGAACAATATAAAATTGCAGCAACCAAGGGAGCCGAATTGTGAGCCAGAGGAACGTGTCAAATAAACTGTCCTGAAAGAAGAACCGAACATGGTTATCGCAAAAGGCGATAATGGGAAAACCACCGTGATAATGAACAAGTCAGATTATTTGAAAAAATGGAGGAGCACCTAGTGACAGGAACATATAAAGTTATCGAAAACAAGTCCGTCAAATAACTGATGAATAAGAATAAGTGAGTGGTTGGTAATTACTTAAGGAACGTAAAGGAGCATCTAGGACCTGACAAATGGTACAACATATACCCGAAATCCTCTCTTCCATCAACATTGTATGACTTACCGAAAATACATAAGACCGATGCACCCATTCGTCCTATTGTAGATGGCATAGTTATCCCGAGGCATGAACTAGCTAGCTAATTGGCTAGCATATTGCAACCCTTGACAAGGCAAACGAATACGTTCCTACAGAACTCCTATGCTTTTGCCAGGAAAGTGTCGGGGCTCGAGATTGAATCTGATGAAACAATGGTCAGTTTCGACGTTAGCTCGCTCTTTACCAAATTGCTAAAATGCGACACTTTGGAGATAGCGAAACATCGTTTAACTGGGGACAATAATCTGGGAGAGATAACAAAGCTTACGGTAAATCAGATAAACAGAAGGAATGACATTGTTCCTTAACATGTCTTAATTTACTTTCCAATATAGGCTGTACACTCAGGAACACGGACTTGCCATGGTATCGCCAATATCTCTTGTATCGACTAATTTGCACATGGAAAACTTTGAAAGCAAGGAGTTGATTGACTCTGGTAGCTCACCAAAAAGGTGTTGGCGTTACGTGGATGACCCATTATTATCATAAAAAGGGGTAAGGAAGACGAGTTTCTGAACAGCTTTAGAACCCTTGAGAATGCTATCTGTTTTAACATGGAATTGGAGTCTTGCAGTGGAACATTGGCATTCCATGACGGCTTAGTTTACAGGAATGATGGGAGTCTAAAAACGACATATCGTAAGCCGACGGAAAAAGATGCTGTACTTTATTATAGTTCAGGTCCCTCAAAGCAAGTGTATGCTGGAATGGGCTCATCTCTGTTTCAAAGAGCCCAGACCCTGTCACAGAGGAAGAAGGTAGGAAGACCGTCCGGAAAGAAGAAATGAACCAATTTTTTCGTTGTAGATACCCGAGGTAGTTAATAAAATGCAAGTTGAAGCGAATTTTAACTCATTACGCACGGCGTAATACCGAGTGGATTGAGACGGTAGGTATTCCTTATAAAGATGGAAATTCGGAGGTCATCCTGAGGATTCTAAATAAAGAAAATATGAGGGCATTTTTCCAGAAAGGGAAAGTTCTCTGCTCTACACTGATGCACTTATACGATCCACTTCCCGCAGATAGGACAACTAATTGCGTCTACAAAACTAGTTGCAAAGACTATACACACGTGTACATCGGCCAAACCGCGAGACAGCTATGCACAATGATAGAACACAAGAGACGCATGACACAGCCACTGAGAAATGAGATGGAATATATGGTTTTACCGTAGCGATGTACGCGATGGATACAGGTCATGAGATATACTTGGATTATGTCGAAATTGTTAGAAAGGAGTTGTGGTCAACTCCTCAGAGGCTGACTGCTGGGGCGGTTGCGATTAGCAAGTGAACAGCTTCGTGAACCGAATGGATGGGTCAGAGCTTTCGAGCATGTGGAGAGCTGTGTTAACCCGACCAGTCTGAGGAGCGCTGGCGGACAGATCCATGGCAGCGAATGAACAACACGTCGCCGCACACACTGTTAACAGGGCTGATGTGTGTGACCTTGTAACGCGGAACACCTATTTGGAGTGATGCGTTGACCTATAATGCGAGTGACCTGCCTACGTCCCATTCGTAGAGATTATCATCCCAATTCGCTATAATTGCCATACGAATCCCCGACTGGTTCACTCTGCCTGACGAAGTTTTTGTGTCAAAAAGGAACGTTGCCCATAAACAATGCCACCTGGTTGTTTTCAAACCTTTTTGAAATCCTGAGTTCTCGATCGGTTCCAAGATGTTGCATACCTATGGTTTTGTTGTCAAATGGATACCGACCAAACTAAATGTCAACCAACATTATCATAAAATGGTTGTGGAAAAGTGCAGTGGGATTGTGAAGCCAGTTGTTTTAAGTGGTACGGAAATAGAAGGATCCTGCGTGAAGATAATGCGCCTGTTCACGATGGGCCCGGGGTAGGGTAGTTTGTGGAAAGCAAAAGAAATTTCTTCGTGTCTTCAAAATTCTGCTGAACTGACACGGTAATTTATCTCGTCAGGGCTAAAAGTCGTTCCTTATTGTGAGAAAAACCGTTGTAAAATTGGTAAAGCTCCCACATAGTCCAAAAGGCAAGCGAACAGCCAAAATCTTTCCGGTTGTTAGGAGTAGATATCCGGATTTCTCCTGACTCAATGGTACTTATTTCCTAGGTGAACAGCGATAATTGTGCATCATCATTCAAAAAAGATATAACGCCATCAGAAAAGTTTTCCGCTATTTATCTCATTTTCGTATTGCATAGATTGGCATCCGATTAAAGCCGGTTTTATTAGCTGGCTAACAACGTAAGCAATTTTAATTTTAACGCACACAAGTAAAGCTAATACTACTTGTCCCACACGCTACATTTGGGCTACATTAATTAGCCCCTCATTTAAAGCTGCAAGTCTTAAGGAAATTGAACTAGCTACCAGCCATTTTAAAGACCCCTTATGTAATCTATGCTTTCCCTCTTTTACAGATTCGCGCGAAACCAAAGTTAAGTTAGGGACGGTTTTCCAAATGCGTTCACATCTTGATACTATGAGTGTTTGCCTACCCGTAGCATTAAGGATCACAAACCTGCTTTGTAATCTGTGTGCGCGTGTTCGAGCATGCGTACGGACCGGGCAACTGTCGCAGGATTCTTAGTCCACGTGCGACCGGTAGTGGTTGCGCGCAGCGAAGCGTCGGTACTGCATACCGGCGTACTACTGATGTCACCTTATGTGAGTTTTTGCCTTCCCTCAAAGGTCAGCGCACGTTCCATTGTGTTGGCTTGCTATACTCATTCGCCGATGTATTATTTCTACTTCATGTCTCCAATGAGCGATGGATAATGGATATTTTGTGTGTGATCTATTCTCTGGAAATAACGAACAAATCTTCTTCCAATTCAGATGGTTCCAACCGGTCGTACTTTGCGATAAAGTACCAATAAATACAAAGATGAGATAGACTACACTTGGATTAGGTTTGCTGCTCCTTATTTTTTCTTTACAAAACCTTGGCCAGAGTGCCACAATTCTTTCTCTCGGAACCTCTGTACGATCGTCATTGTTCGCCAAGATTTCCCATCAATTTGTGCTCGGCCTACCTGCAAAAATTTTGATTATTGTAATGGTTTTTAAATTTTCATACCATATTCTCCCTTATTTCATGTTTGTCCACGAGTGGAATGACCTCTTAAGGCGACGGACTACAGTTTCCAAGCCAAATTGGATACCCATGCAAGTCATATTGCCACGTATTCAATGGTGCATAAAAAAGTGCCATACTTAAATGGTCCACATAACGGAATGTTCTGAGACTTCCTAGCCCCTATTGTTATGCATAAAAAGAGCTCTTAAATTTTTTTAAGCAGGTAACGGCTTACTTGCTATTTTGCCGCACCGGCAGATATCCAGTCGGAGGACGGAAGTGCAGGTGAAACTTACCGAGGGAATACCGTGAATGGAACAGGTCACTTGGGGACGATTTCATGAATGGCTGTTTGACTGTAATTGAGAAATAATTCCCGGAGTGCCGTATTGACGCACCTAGTAGACTCCGATCATCAAATCGATTCGCGTGACGCATTCACACCGATCTACTGTCCCCGGACGTTACACACCGGCGGTCAGATGTCGCCTGCTGTCGACAACAGAGGCGATTGCAATTCGGCTCTATAACCCGGACCTATGTGCACAGAAAAAGCTCGTCCATACTTTAACCTTGCCTTGGCCTCAGATCAACGCGACTAACAATGGCAGTCACGCCACTTCACTTGACCTCGCCTCAATCAGACCAAACACATAGACTTATCGATTAGTTACTCTGCTTCAGTGGGCCAATTTAAACCCATTGTGTCTAATCTAGTTTGTTTTATTGTGATTGTATTAGCCTGATGATGAAGCCCTGAAAATAAGTTTTTTCGCTACTTTCTGTTTCTGATGTTTGACTACTTGAAGTTTTGATTAAACCTGTACTTTTTATTCTTTCCAATTATCTCAAAGTCTGTGGTACAAATTGATCAGACTACTTAGTTGGATTTTGGTTCGCACCGTCGAGGGATATGCAGTATATTTCCCTAAATATAAGGATTGTCACACTTAGGTTTTTTAACCATGTGTCTCGAGTTTGTGCTAGGGTGGAAGTGAGCGGCTAATGATGGTGTGAGCTCTTCATGGTCCTCATCCGTTGCGAGTATTCCGACAATGCGTCCTATAAGACGAACGATTTCCTTTAGGTGTTCATCTACCTAACTGACGTCCGTGCTTCTAAAGTAGAACTACGTCACGTAGGCTAGGGCATAGTTAGCCGGTCAAAAGAAAATAAGGTCTGTACTTCATCTACTGATGCACCCTATCGTCGTTAGGATGCTCCATTTGGCAACACTTATTGTTAAAATGCTTAGACGGTTTCAAAATTCTAGCGTCAATTTAATGATCCAATCGGTCAAAGTTTCACGTGAACGAGAGATCTGAAAGCGATTAAGAGCGCGCATATCTGATAGATAAACCAGGACACAATCGCATTGCATGTTGGGATCTAACATGATCTAGTCATTGACTACTGTGAAATAACGCGAACCCTACGGTGTGTTCACCAACCGTCGCAGTGAGGCCGCGATGAGAAATCCTGTAGCTGTGTTAACGTGCACCGCTTGCTAGTCAGCCAAAAAGCAGCATTCTCCATATATTTTGCCGCTATACTTTCGGGTTCATTCTGCTCGCTCTGGTCATCCTACAAAACTTGTCGAGCACTCCTTTTTTATTTGTCACTATGCCCTAGTTATTGTCAGCTTAAAAGGAATTTAATGGTTGGATAAGTAATCACGGTAACTTCCATCTGAATGGATCCAAACAAGATTTGTTTCAGATACGGTGGGGTTTTGTTGGATGTAAGTCGCAGACAAGAACTTGATTCGTCGAACAAGATTCTAAATATCCATGGTAGTCCCAGAGTAAGTCGGATTGGATAGTGTTTTGTGACACAAAGCACGTGTATAACAGATAAGTTAAAGCTGAGCTTACCCAACGCGAAAAGTAGGTACCTATATGGAGTAAACAGTGTTAAAGAGTGGAATCACAAACTAATCGATAGCCATTATACCCCCAAATAAAGCAATGGACCATCTTGTGCGTCATTGTGAGGTAACCAGTGCTAGAAAAAAACAAACGCAGTTGGTCGGGGCCGTTAGTTTACAACTGCGCGCGCTTGACTGGGCGTTTCAGCAACACCATATTAGTGTGTAGCAAGACCACTGAAAGCGTTGAAAAGAGAATCGACTGAATCGGTCTTTAGTTATGCCTCCACTGGAATACGAGAGGAATATTTTTGTGCAATATACCATACAGATAAAATTGGTCCGTTAGCGCGACCAGTAACGACGTTGTTAATGGATGTCACATGACAGAAGACCCAGCGGTGGGGGTTACTAGAGTTCGTCTCGGTGAGTATGGCGACCAAAAGCACATCTACTTCACGCACATCACAGAGCATTCCGTGGCATGCATGGCTAGTTCAAGAAGCAGTGGGGTACAAGGAGGTCTCACCCCAGTGGTCCACTTGTTGGAAAGATCAATGGTTTTGTCTCATTAGATATTCCACTGATTCAAGCCAACACGGAATAGAGCAATGGAGCAATGGTTTAAGACGATAGAAAAGCGAATGCTTGATATGTTCCGTAAGACGGTAAGGGAAAAATGGGATTAAAAACCGTGTCAGTAAAAGAACGTGTAAAACGAATGACTCACCAAAGAGTTTGGATTAACATAAGCTATATCATGTAGGGTATCTGTATCATAGTCAAAACGTTTTTGAAAAGGGGGAAAGTAGGAGCAATTTGCACATTTTCCGGGAAGGAATTCCAAGGCTGCGACACTCGGAGAGAGAAGTTTCGTCGACATTCCAGTCGGCTGTATTGCGTGACCAGGCTGAACTGATGACGCTTAGAGATGTGATTCAAATGAGTTTCAACAGAGAATAGCATCTGCGATTGGGGTTTCGCAGGATCTGATAAACCAGTATGAGAGGGCCTCTTAGACGCTGGTAACGTCCGCTGTATATTTTGTGGCTTTTCAGGCCGAGTAATAAAATAATGTGTCAGCTGTACGCCGTACCGGCGCTTCGCTGACGCGCGACCACCATTAGTCGCGCGCGGGCTGAGTATACCGCGAGGACGCCCACCCCTACGCGGATTCGAACCGGTGACCTTATGGTTGCAAAGCAAACTTGCAGTCCACTCGGCCACCAGGCCGAGTGGGTACGGAAGGCCGGACAAACCTCTGACGTTCTTTGTCTCCATGCGTTGTGTGGTGTTCAGCGTGGTGAGGTGATGTTTTTGCCAGGGTTGCCACGCTTGAATAGCCTATTCCTTGTGATGCTTCACGTAAGCGTCAAGTATTTTCGGAAAGATTGAGGCTTCAAACCTCCCGACCGCTCTACGAAGAAGGCAGAAGTGTTGGTTTGTTTCCTTTGAGGCCTATTCAGTCTGCCTTAAACGCCCAGAGTCCTCTTGCCCATGCACGCCAAGATTGCACTCATGAGAAGCCCGACGTAGAATTTCTGATCCTAGGCGGCTGTTGTGCTTACTCTGATGGCGCATGCTCAGAACGTTGCACTTTCTGATGTTGAAATGCAGCATGTTCTCGATGGACAGTGTGTACGCTTTGTCCAGGTCATCCTGTAGGGTTGTGTGACCCTCCGCAGAGGCGATAGCACGCCATATATTTAAATTATCTGCAAATAGCAGACAGTCTGCAGACAGCACAGTTGCAAGATCATTTATGAAAACCAGGAACTGCTTTGCCCGAGTACTGATTCATGAGATACGCCGCACTGAACTTCGATTGGTTCAAACAGGGTGCTGCGTACCCTCACATTCAGGTGACTTTGAAAGCGAAGGTCGCCTAACCAACCTAGAACGGGATCTTCGATACAATACTTCTTGAGTTTTTGCAGTAGAATGCGATGGTCTAGGCGATCGATTACCTTTGAAAACTCCAGCTTGGTTGATCCACCGACGTCCAAAGATTCCGTCCAACTTACAAGAGCTATCAACAGATTAATGGTAAAGGACGTATTTTGAAGAAATCGCTGCTGCTTCGGAACGAGAGTCTTGTTATTCTCGGTACTCCATGAGCGCCTCAGCTACAGTGGACTCCATGATCTTGGAGATCATCGGAAGAAGAGTAATCGGACGATAATTCGTTGGTACTTCACGACTGCCGCTTTTATAGTTTAGAGTGATCATCCCGTGCTTCCAAATTTTGGGGCTGTGTATCTCATTAGGATATAGCTGAAAGAGTGTTGCTAACGGTTCAGCTAAGCTCACGGCGGCAACTTTCAATGCCTTCAGGCGAATGCGGTGCGCACTCGGGGAGATGTATTCGTGCAAGAACATCAGCCGCCCCAATACAGCTGCGATTGGGAAAGATATGTGGTTAAGGCCTGATGGCGGCATGAGCTGCGTAGACATGTTGTAGGTTGGTTGCATACTCTGGCAGGTACTGCCACATTGTTGTCCAAGTAGGTTGGCCGCCTCTTGTGCCGTTTGTGCTAACCCGCATGCTGTGTGCAGAGCCGGAATTCCGCGCTTAACGCGGCGAAGTTTGTTCGTGTCTGTATAGCAGCTTTGGGTTAGAGCAAAACTTTACCACAAGGTTTTGTTGGTTCCTTAAGTTATCTTCCCGGATGAGTTTGACACAGTGGTTCCCTTGTGATGTATAGACGCTCCAACTACCCTTCCTCCGATAGGCTATATGGGCAAGCCATGCTAAGTCCCCTAATGCCATGCATTTCTGGGTCCTGCGCCTTGGGAAGGACTTCATCATTTTGGGCCGGTGGATTTTGGTTTCAAATGCGTTTGCCACAGGCCTGTTGAATCTATTTACAAATTCCCCGCAGGCCACTTCATAAGATCATACAGTTTGGAAAGACCAGCTTGTTTCACTAATGAGTTCAGAGAGGTTATCATACTTGGTTTTGAAGTAGGATTCATCAGTATTTCATTTTTGCTACTCTGCGTAGCACAAGTATTGAAACACTAATGTCGCTTGATCGCTGCGGCCCAAAGGAGTGCACATCGTTGCTACGTCGATCATGAGTTCCTCGTTGATAAAAAGAGGTCTAAGATGGTCGGTTCGTTTCCTGCCCTGAAACTCGTTCGCGAAGTGAACAGCAGTGAACTAGCGGTTAGCTCTTGCAGATTCACCTTGAATTGTTCACCCAGAGTGGCCGAGGTGTCCAAACTGTGCAGATTGAATTCCCTACAAGGAGAACGTGGCTTTAAGTTCGTTCACGTAGATTCCTCAAAGCGGAAGGTAGGGCCTGGTCCCTTTCTAAATTGGACATTAGTGGGCGGTATACAATGGCCACTAGGCATCTATCGCCTTGCCTTAGCTGTAGGCAGCACCATAGGGCTTCCAAAGTTTGAATCTCTGGGTAGTTTAAGTGTTCAACGAGAAGGTCGCAACGGTAGTAGAGATTTACATCGCCTCCTTTTGTAGGTCGGTCGTTGCGCAGGAGTGAAATACCAGGTAGTGCGATCTCGGCGTACGTATTCACGTCGTTCAGCCTTGCCTTGGTAACCATGA